TGAAGTAATACACTAATGATTATTTCCAAAATGATGGTAAGGTAAACATCTTTCAAAAAAGGACGAAAAATCCTAAAATCTTATGAGGAAAAAAAAATAAAAAAATAAAAAAAATGACGGGAAAACTAATCGAATTTCGTTCCGGTTTTTTGGTTTTCCGGTTTTCTGATTTCCGGATAACGGGTTCTGTACTGTACTATACAACTTTCTTATTTTCTCGCGACTGAAACTGGTTTGCACTTGTTTACGCTCCATAGGATAATTCCGTAAATAAGTGTTTCTCAGACATGCTATGAATGTAATTATTTGACGCATTTATTCAATCTTAAATTCACAACCTTCAACGTTTCTAACAGAGTTATGATGTTTGCCAACGAATTAAAACAAATATTTAAAAAAAAAAAACATTTAGACGTTTAAAAAAATTTATTTCCTCTGCATCATGTGCAATTTAAGAACTATTTTAATTGCACACGCTGACGCAATTTTGCATAAAATGAGCTATAAAAATAAATATTTTAATGCGTTTCTCATTATTTTAATACGTTCAATATTATAGTAGGTGTTATTTCAATATGTGTCTGTTCAATATAGGTAGTTGCCGGCCAGGTGTGGTTAGCGTGACTGACTGTGAAGCCAATGGCTGCGGGTTCGAATTCCGCTCTGGGCATGGATGTTTCTCTCTCTCTGTGTTGTCTTCTGTAGTGTGAATGTATGAAAGTGGCCCACCCTATGAACGGGTATTTGTGGCAGTGTGGCGTGGGTAATGTTGCTCGCCTCCGTGACTTTGGCTCACAGGTGCCCACTGGGTAGCGATAAATGAGCAACACTTCCGGCATCTTCTACGGCGAAGAACGAAAGTTCAGTGCCTGCCGTTATTAAAAAAATATATATATAGGTAGTTAGAGTCATGGTGGCTCAGGGGATAGAGCGTTCGCCTTCCAATGAAGTAAACCGGGTTCAAGTCCCAGCGATGGCTGGTTAATACCAATTCCGCATCCGGTTTGCACTGTAATGACGGAAAATATCCTAAACGGATCATGGGTTAGCGTCCCCTTGCTGCCAGGCTAATTATGAAAAGTTTTCGTGGTTTTCCTCTCCATGTAACGCAAATGCGGGTGAGTTCCACGAAGGCAAATTTCTCCCAATCCAGGAGTTCCCTTGTCTTCAGGATTGGGTTCAAAATGACAAGGCTGCTGCGTTAAACGTTAGTAGCCGTAAACACAAAAAATTGGTTCGGCTGTTCAACGACGGTTACAAAATATAAAATAAAAAAATACAGGTAGTTAGTTCAATATGTTAATTATAAAATGTTTCGCTATCAGGCAATATTAGAGAAGTGTATTTACGTGAATGGTCCGCTTTTAACTTTTCATTTCTGCCCAACTTATAATTCAATTTGCTTCAGCCTTTCTCAACTCACCTCACGTGAGGAAAAGGAAATTTTCATTCAAAAATGCGTAAACATGCGCGTTAACTATTCATGCTTATGACTATTCACTCGCTTGATATTTCAGTTCTTTTTTGCTGATCGGGTTTTACAATCTGCATGGTTATATATAATAAAAAGAGGGTTAATAAGAGGTTGAGGGGGCTCCACCTTCTGCCCTCCCCGTAACTACTCTCTGAGTTCCCTCCAGATAGCTTTGAACCAGAACTCCTCTCATTATACACATTTTACTCTAGTCTTCAGTCTAGAAACATCTTGTCAGGTTTTTTTTTCAATTCCTACTATCTTGTTCACACTATATCTTGTTCAGTCGTTCATGAAATACTTTTTATTGAAGTTATACTTCTTATGCGACTTCCAACAAGGTTGCGTTAAACGTTTAACGCTACATTTTTATTGGCCGGGAAATCCAGTTTTCCCTAATTCATTTCCATATTGTTTTGGTTTTCACTAGCATAAAAGTATTGTTTTTCTATAAATATTTTTTTAGTTTGTTTTGATACACATATAATTTAATAGGGTAGTATTTTTTATTTTCAAACTTAGTGGATAACAATTGTAAAAAATGAGTGAAAATAATCCCACGGACAATGCGACGGATTTAAGGTTACGTGAAGGTACGTCTCTTGTGAATATCAATTGTTTGTTAGGTTTTCTCTTTTCTAATTGCCATTTATGTTTCACCAAATGCAGCCATGAGGGATATTAAATTATTTATTGCAAAATCTTTATTGCCACTATCCACTGCAGGTTCACAAGCTCTGGCAGATGGTGAAAAAATTGATTATTGTGAGCGGCCTGTGATCCTTGCAGGAGATGTGAATTTCTAATTACCTGAAGCTGAAACATTATTAACCTTCCTTAAAGACAAATTTGGATTGGAAATGATAAACGGTAGAAATGATCCAACAACCAATGGGGTAACTACCATTGATGCAGTTTTTGCAAGAAATATTGAAAAAATAGAACTCAAACATTTCGTATCTTACTTTAGTTATCATAATCCCATTGTAAATGTTATAGATTTGGATATTTCTCCACTCGAAAGTGATAATTAAAAGATGCGATCCATTGCGAATTGTAAGCAATGTTAATAAAATTTGCCTTAAAGAAACAATATGATTTCACTGAAAATCAATTTCTACCCCTTCCTATTTTCATTTCCACATTACGAAGTTTAACTTCTTACGGGCGGAGGGACTCCACGCACTATTTTTTTTATTCAAGTTCAAATACATTTTTTGTTGAAATTGTAGTGGATGATGTTAATTACAAAAATATTAATTCATTCAGTAAACTTAATTTTAATTTTATAGGGGAGAAATTTTTTTTAGTTATTTAATAAAAAGTAACTAAAATAAAATTTTTCTTTGTTGACAGGAATTGATTTAAAATATTACTTGTTTATGTACCTTTCAATGAAATTTATATCAGACACAGAAAAAAATGTACATTTTTAACATATTTTATTTTTTATGGGTGAATTCGGGACAGTAAAAATATGGGGGTCGTGATCTGGAAAATAAGATTCAGATAGAGCAATCGAAAATTTGAACTGTTCATTTCACTTTTTGCATATTTCGGCGTATGTCGAGAAGTTTTAAATCGACACAAATGCACACATTTATAAAATTTGTTTAATTCCCCGTAAAAAATTATGTTTAATAATTATTTAATTATTGTTATTATTTTATTGAAATATAAGCGAAACAGTAAACCATACAAATTTTTATGAAACATGCAATTTTAAAAAAATATTCGAGTTCTGCTTATTTTGTTAATTTCAAGTTGTATATTTCTTTCTGTTATCTACAGGTTTGTGTTTTGTCTTCGGAGCCAAATATTTATTTTCATATTATGTTAGATTGTTGTTTCTGAAAAAGAAATAGAGAGAGAGACTTCACTTACCCTCAACCTCGTAACTTTTCAAGTCAGCCTGAAATATGAAAAAAGGAATGGTGATTAATAATATATATGGGAAATTAAAAGTATAAATTCAAATATAACGTAAGCAGAGGACTTGTGATAAGATTGTTGTTGCTTATAAGGGAGGAAGGAGAAGTTTAAGACATGCTTACGTAAAATCACCTAAGTTAAAAAAATGTCACAAAAAAATTTATAATTGAAAAAAATTCAAATTTGGATTTAAATTTGGGGAAAGTCTACTACAAAAAACCCCAACAAAACAAGGGTTGGGGTCCATTGCGAAAGCATGAGAGTGGTTTGGTATTGCGTATTTTTGCTGTCAAAAGGGGAAGGGTTGAATACAAAATTGGCTTACGCACAATTTGAACAGCCCTATAACAAAGTATCATAGAATTCTCTCCAGTAGTAATTTTGAGTGATAACACGTGTTTTTAATTATAAATTGCAAAATTTCATTTTACTTATATTGAAATTAAATGAATTTATTGATCTTAGGGTCAGGGGATGAGAAACTTTGTTGGCTCCTACGACAATCTTAAGGACCAGCTCTCGAATTTCATCAGTTGTTCTCTAGAACCTTCTAATCATTTGAGGACAGAAAATATTCGCATGTGTTCAGCAAATGTCTTCGTTTTTTTCTCTCGAAATTTTTTTTAATTACTTTTGTTTTTACACGTATAAAAAATATCAAAATATATAAATAAAAATTGCCCACGTTTCATTTAAATAAGATAATTTATATAGGTGTCGCAGTGGACTGATCGCAAAGATCCCAGTAAAATATCGAAGTCAAACATCTCTGGTTGCGGTCAATAAGCGACCACTTTAATCAGCCTGCATAGGGATCAAAGGGTGTGCGGTCCTCATTAAACTGTTCTACCGTAAAGTGTTCGATTTCACGCGCAGATCATCGGGCTACCAAAGAAAGGGAGTACAGAGGATCAAAATTGCGATGGCATGTCTTCGGATTCTCAGGAATGTTTCCCAGACCGTCGCCTATAGCCAATTATGCAGCTCTAGTGCGACGTAAATAAAGTACCAAACTTGCGTTATATACATGCAAGCAAAAAGCAAAAAAGCACCATAAAACTAAGTGATTAAAATTCTGATTATGTACTCATTCATTTCACATCTGTTAAACATATGCCGAATATCAGGCATCAAAACTAATACCTTTTTTCTGTCTACGCGATATATCCCATCTGTTGTAACTTTCCTTTTCTGGAAAGGATTTTATATATGAGTCATAAAATCAAGATTTTTTTTATAAAACCTATAACTCCTAATCAAGTGTACCAGGTTCGAATCCCAGAGTTGGCTACTCAATACGCTTTCTGTTCTTGACTGGCACCGATTACAGTATGACATAAAATATATTCGCATTAGTAGATGGAACAGAATCCTTTTGCCATGGGGTTAACCATGGAAGGTTTTCCTCTCCCATTCAAAAATCTCGCAGGAAGACTAGTTGACTTCAATGCTTGAACTAGGAGTTTCGTTGTAAAATTTTTGGTGGGTTAAGTTCAAAATTTTATTTATAAAAGTTTCTATCAAACGTTCGATTGATAATGTAAATATATCATTTAAATTTTCTATGTAGTTGTTCCTGATGTAAAAAATTGATTTTTAAGTTTTTTTACTAATTAGTTAATTTATATTCGGAAAGCCCTGAATAAACACATTTTTTTTCCTTAAAAACTTTGCTAAATTGATAATTTGAAAAATGTATCATTGCATTTAAATGAAATAAAAAAAATTCATGGCAAGAGGTTTTTAACTGAAATATTAAATACTAAAGGACAAAATATTGGTTGCAAGCTCATATTGTGAAATTCATATATTAAATAGTGTTGTAGCATTCGTTTAAAAATTGAGTAATAGATGAACGCTGAAGTAATGCTTCTTTTTTGAAATTGAGATGATAAAAAATGAGAAATAAATTACGGCATAGATTAGAAACATATGTAGACACATGTAGACTGCTATAAATATATATAGATTTCCCAATGTAATAATAAGCTAACTCAACATAACATTTTTCTTCATCATGAACAAATGTTTTAAAATAAACACCATACTCTTTTTTTAAAATGTAAATCAGTCTATGATTTTTATATATTCAAACATTTTAATTTTCATTGTGGAATAATAAAATTAATTATGATCTTCAACAAAATATTCGGACAATCTTCTTTTCCTTTTTTTTTTTTTTACTTTTCTGTTATGCAAAAATATTCCAACATTCTTATTTTCTTAATTAATTCTAATTTTTAATTATATGTATCTACGAAATATTCCAATACTTTATTTTTCTTATTAACAGTTGCTCTAAGTTATGAAAGAATAGCAAATATTAATGAAATATCTTAATATTCTTTTAAATTATTCATTAAATTAATTATAAATTTGTTCAAAATGCATTGGCAATTTCTCTTTCACTTACCATTGAGATTTCCTTATAATTTCCAGCAGACGAGGAAGAACAGAAACGGGAAGCTGAGATGGCAGTCGGATTGGGACTGTCACAAGTTTACGATCTCTACACCTTAACTCTCAGTTCACGCAAAGGGGGCGCTGCCGGCGATTATGTCACAATGGAAGAAATAGAAACTCTTCATCTCTCTCTGCTTTATTTGTTCGTATCTTTTGATTTGTCCCATTCCATTCATCTTTTAGGTCAAGGATCACCCCTTTAAAAACAGTTTAAGCTCTTCCTTTGAGAGTAAAATAAAAAAAAAACGAGATTATTAACCTCCCCAAATTACCTCATTCATTAGTTTCGCTCTTTTAATAAGCCCTATTATCATAGTGACAAAGATACATAGTGGTACATAATACAGTCGGAATTCTATTTAATGAATTTCCATTTGGCGATTTCTTTCGAGGAACCGAGAACATTTTGCAAATTTCTTCGTAAAATAACTTTCAAACAGGCGAAGTGAATTTTCTATTCAACGAACTTTTCTAAGAGATCCACTTTTCCTAATTCCCAAAATATTTCAGAACATTCCAAACTTGTTAACGCATTTTATGGGGGAAAACTGATTTTCTAAGCCACTTAAGAAGCTCTTAGAGAAAGCAGTAAAATCCCTTTCCCTTTTTGTTTGTATTTCAAACGAAAAACTCATGCGAAATTAACGGATTTTATCTGTAGCTATTAAACTTAAGAACGCATTGTAAGTAATGTATGTTTAAAATTACTTTTATAATAAATGCAGCTATAATTTTAGACATAAATTTAGCTTTTTTTTAGTTGAAAATATATGTAGCATGATAGTGTAACACCGGATAATGTTTTGCTCGATTCTTGTTTTCCATGCAGATTTCTTTTATGATTAAGATTTATAAATACTAGTTTACAAGATGAAGGTGTATTAATTGCTATTTTAATTACATCTCGGTTTTATGAATTTAAAACCTGTTTTGTGTTGTTTAAGTATTTCAAAAGATGATTCTCTACTTAGAAAATTTTCCATATAACGCGCTTATTATCGGGATTTTGCGACTTCGTTAAATAGAGGTCCGACAGTGACACAGTGAGTAGATATGGACAGGGCCGGATTAATCTATAGGCACACTAGGCACGTGCCTAGGGCCTACGAAAAGCTTGGGAGAAAATTTTTTTTTGACAAAAATAATTTAGCTTTAAAGACAACAAGTGTATTTTGCACAACATTATAAAGATACAAATAAAAATATAATATTTTTCGGTAATAAATTATTTTGCAGAATCTTATGATCTAATATATTACTTTTTTGCGATTTTTGGATTCAGATAAAGTTCGATAAAAAAATTTGTATATTCAAAACCATATTAATAAAAATGTAAAAAAAAAATATGCAAGAAAATTTTAGCATATATTTTGAAAAGAAGGGAGGAGTGGGAGAAGGAGGGGAGGGCCCAAAAACGGCTATGCCTAGGGCCTACGAAAGGTATAATCCGGCTCTGGATATGGACTGCTTTCAGTACCGTCTTTACGCATGACACACACGGGCAGTACCCGGGAGCACTAGGCACTCAGGGCCTCTTGAAAATCTTATTTTTTATAAATTGTATTAAAAAAAAGCAACATTGACAAATTTGATTTAAAAAAAACAACAACATTGAGTAAACAACAGTGTCTTATATTTTTTTGCGTTCGCCTTCCAATGAGGTGAACCCGATTCGAATTCCAGAGATGGCTGGTTGATAAGAATTCTGCACCCGGCTCGCATCGATCCTCACAAAAATATCCTCACTGGTAGACGGATCATGGATGGATTCGAGTCCTCTTGCCGTCCGGCTAACAGTGGGAGGTCTTCGTGGTTTTCCTCTCCATGTAACACAAATGCGGGTTAGTTTCATCAAAAGTCTCCATGAAGTCCCCCAATACTTGATCCAAGAGTTCCCTTGTCTTCTGGATTGGTTTCAAAATTGCAACTCTACGGAGTTGAATATTAATAGTCGTAAACCCTAAATTACGTCGGCTGTTCAACGACAGTTATAAAATAAAATAAATATATTGCACTGTATAAAGTGGATATTTTATTTTTCTTCCTACAAATAGTGATTATGTTATGTCATAATGTCGCTAAAATGCTTGACCACTACCAAATCTGTTAAGCAAAAAAGGATAATTAAATAAAGTAATAGTTGAAATAGTTTAGAATTAGACAGCCCAATAGCAGAGCAACTTTTAAACTAGTTATGGCTGATGTGCATGCATTGAAAGAAAGACTGCTAAGTTTAACAAATATTTCATACCATTTAATTTTTATTCGACGTTTTTCTATGTAAATTCTTAATTATCAGGTTATGCTTAGACAGTTTTATTGTTTTTACACGTCTAAAGCCGATTTGCACTTGTTTACGTTCGTATATCTATTGGCAAAATCAGACGATATATAATATAAATTCGACGGTAGGATAAATTAGGAGATATATTAGATAAATATAGAACATTTATTACATCAGGTACGATATTGTTATATTGTAATAATTAGAACAAATTATTTGACATACTGTAGCGTTTTAATAATCGCATGTTTTGCACGAATTTATAGGCAATACTTTTATATTTAAACATATATGTAATGGATTTTTATTCAAGAGATTTTTTATAAACTTCTTATTTGTATTTATTTTTAACGTATTGCATTATAATGTTAAACCAACTGTAAACAAGCCGTGTAAAAACAATAAGGCTGTCACCTGGCTAATAATTAAGATTTGACATTACAGAGCGTTTGATAATTTGTTATTACATGTTATAAAGGCCAAAAACATTTCTGTGGCCGGGAGTCCTAACTACAATTAAAACGACCCTGACTGCTTGGAGAAAAAAAAACATATTCTCCGAAATAAACCGGGTTTTATGGGAAGGAAATTTTAAAAATTGCTTGTTTTTTCTTCTTCCAGGAATTTAACTTGACATTTAAAACAACGCTCTCACATTTTTCAGCAGAAGTCATTATTGTTTACGCAGACATTTTACCTCAATCTTTGATCGAACCAAAAAATTATGTCACTTTTTTAATATCTTGTATATGATTGCTGTTAATCTACGTCGCACTAGAGCTGCACAATGGGCTATTGGCGACGGTCTGGGAAACATCCCGGAGGATGATCCGAAGACATATGCCATCACAATTTTGATCCTCTGCGGAGGGGATGGCACCCCCGCTTCGGTAGCCCGACGACCTGCGCGCGAAGTCGAGCACTTTACGGTAGCACAGTTTAACGAGGACCAATACCGCACACCCTCGGTCCCTACGCAGACTGATCCAAGTGGTCACCCACCCGCACACTGACCGTAGCCAGTGATGCTTGACTTCGGTGATCTGCTGGGAACCGTGTCTTAACGATCAGTCCACTGCGGGACTCTTGTATATGAAAATTTCCTTTTTAATAACCATAATTTAAATGAATATTTTGACTTATATTGTTCGAAAGATATTTATTTTCAAAGTCATAAGAAAGTTCAACAATACTGAAAATGAAGAGTTTTTCTGTCTAACTTCAGCTAGCGTCCTGGATCTTTGGACAATTTATAAAAAAAAGAAGAAAAAAAAACAATTTTAGTCCCCAAAAATTGTTCAAAAATTTCAATTAGATCGCTCTCAAGCGATATATAAAAAAATAGAAGTTTCTGATTGATTTAGAGATAGTGTCAGTCATATAAATGAAACTGCAATCGATTCTGTTCTTTGAAATATTTTAAAGATAGCATCAGCGATGTTTGTTTGCTTCATTAAGCATAAAGAGGGAATTTGTTGTACGTTCGTTTACATTTAATTATTTTTTACACGTTATGTCAGATAAACGGAATGATTACTGTGAGCGTAGTAACATAGGCCCGACTACGTTACCAAATTTTTATTTCTTAAATAGTCTGAAACCGTGCGGTTTATTTTGTTTAGACTTATTCTTTTAAAACGTGATAAATAAAACCAAGCAATTTAAAATCATCCATATTTAAAATTCAAAAAAAAAAAAAATGGTATGTACAGAAAAGCAAAATATTTGTTGGTGAAATAGCACTATAGGAGAAAGATAAAAAACAGCCAGTGGCACCAATGATGCTTGATTAACTTGGGTAAAAGATACGATTTAGAATTAAAAAAATATACTTCATAATTCAAAATTTTTTCCTCCTTAATTTAATTAAATAATAGAAATAATAAATAATGATTAGAAATTATTTTTTATATGAAATTATCTTTAGGTAAACGGGTCTTATAAGTGGGTTAATTTTTTTCTTTGAATTACTTAATTAATTTGAAAAATATAACTAAAAACACAAAAAGGGAAATTAACATCAAGGGGTACGAACTTTGGATCTCTCTCCTGACCAAACTACGGGGACCCTATTTCCCAGATTGCGGCTACCCCTTACATTTTGAAGGTTAAGAATCCATATATGTAAAAATAAATACATGTTTATTCAGAGAAAGTACTTTTTTGTGTCCGATTTCATAACTTAAAATATCGTCTGCACTAGCAAATTAGCATACTTAAATTTAGGCTATTGAACTGCAGTTTGTGCCCCGATCTACGAAATTCTAATTAAATCAAAAGTTGTTAAAGGTAATCACTTTTTTACTTTGCTTAATGTACAACACGCTCGTAAAAAAAATGGGTTACGCTGAATATCTTTTGATCTAACTATCGGATCTTTACGTTCTAAGACTCAATCATAATAATTCGATTAAGTGACCTCAGATTATGTATAATAAATATGCTACTTAATTAGTGCAGACGATATTTTAAGTTGCGAAATCAGACATCAAACGTAATTTCTCGAAATTAGCATAATTTTTTCCCCGACCGATTCGGATCTCCAAAATAATGGGGGTAACCCGAACACGATTCTAATAGTTAGGCTAGAGCCTACCAAAGCGGTTTCTGAGAAATCGAATACAATGTGACTTCGATGTTCGTGTCATTAAAAGTGGATCAATTCTTATTTATCTCAATCCGGTATTTATTTACATTTTATTCTTATTCACATATTTCAGTCCCTGGACATATTATTTGACGCACTATAAGATTCTATGTAAAGTTATAATTATCAGGTGAAACTCTATACAGCTGCATTGTTCTTACTCGCATTTGTTGA